AATTATTTGTATAATTATCGGTTTTAGTGTTCTGAGTCTTTCCTTACATTGGTTTCTGTAGAGTATTTTGATTTTATCTTCTAGTATTTGTCCTATGTTGATAGTTGTACTTTGGTCTTTCAATGTATATAAGGACTGCATTAAGTTTCAAAAGGGGACAGGTCAGTATTCGTGATAGTGTGGTTCATGTGTGCCCAATGTAAGTATTTAATGTTGTCCTTAGATTATCAGTGTTGCATCCTCCCAGGATGTGCATCAGAATTCACAGATAACATTATTTTTACACAGAAGGCATTTCTAAGTCCCAGTGTTGCTGAAAATAATTAAGTTAGATGTTTTTAAGTTACTATAATAGATAATAAATCTTGCGTGTTTGTTAGGATAATTGAGTTATTTGTACGGGTGTATTTTGTTTTTAATTGCCTTTTCGTCATGCTTTAATTAGAACAGTCATAAGGAGGATTAAATAATTCTAATGAGATTTACATATGAACAGGTTCGGACAGTTTATACACAGCTTTGAGCACAATTCTCAACATCTTATCAGAAAATTGAAAAAAAAAAAACGATAAAATTATTAAACGTTGGCTTATGGTTAGTTCTTTTTAATCCAACATGTCTAGGTGAATATCTGAAGTTTATATATATATATATATATATATATATATATATATATATATATATATATATATATATAGTTAGTTAGTTAGACTCGTCCGAGTATTTTGGTTTGTGATTGAACAAAGCAATGCCCAAGGGAAAATAAGGGATAAAAAAAAGAATGAACTAAGACCATGAAATTGAGGCGTAAACAATCGTCTAGAATTCAAGCTCAGAGTCCAAAGAAAAATACCCCAAGTAGAGCAAACCTAATTATGAACCTGAAGAGCCAGGTAAACCTACCTACGTTTCTATGCAGATCGTCAGGGTACCCTGACGATCCGTATAGGTGAAACCTAGGTAGTTTTACCAGGTTCATATATATATATATATATATATATATATATATATATATATATATATATATATATATATATAGGTAAGTTGATGCGTACATGAAAATTGGAAATTATCAGATTCAATAAAATCATTTATTAACTGAAAGGTATGAATGAACAGTCAATTGTAAACCTTAAAACTTAGTTAAACTTTGGAATTTGATCATGTTTTTTCTTATATTTTAGTTGTACTGCGTTGCTTATCTTTCTATTTCTAAGATTAATTTGGATTTAATGTAATTTGGTATTAATCTCTTGGTAATATTAGTAACTTCTTGTACGGATGTATTGGTATTTGGTTGGTATTTTTGACATTTTACATTGATTGTTTAATGTTTCTAACATCTTATATGAAGAAAGATTATTCAACTGTTGCATATTAATTTACCAAATAATTCTATATATTTAGATTATTTACTAGTTTCTTGAAGAAGCTATTTATTATCTAGTTTGTATAATTTATGTAGCCATTTACATCCGCTGTAATCTGGCTGCAATTAGATGTCAATCTAAGGGTCATGACCTATTTATAAAAATAATTTTTAATTTTTGCCCCCACAATAGGAACAACAGAAACTGTAAATTGTGTATGGTGGGGAAATCAACAATCACATTCAAGAATCAAAACAGCATATTTAACAAGAGGAATGAAATAATGGGGAAATGCAGACATTTAAGCAAGCATCTACTCTGTTATCTAAATGCTTATATAGAAAGAAAAGAAATAAATGCCCCATAAAACGCAATCCCATCACAAACAGAAATCACTATAGCTAACATCTAATCCATGTCAATTCTAAACACAATCCACCCAGTAAAGATAACCACAATATCAACAAATAACTAACACACTATTACCGAACAATACAAAACACATACAATTACTATAACTATATCCTTTAAAAAACGCAGAAAAAATCACACACACATCCTATTCACAACACCTACATCAACAAAATATTAACTAACAAAATATTACCCAATCACACAAAAAACAACCAAATTACTACAACTACATTTGTTTTTGAAAGACACGAACACTACATATAATAAAGCGAAAATAGAAAAATAAATGGGAACGTAGAGGCGCGAAGGTACAAACACATCCACATAAACACAGACAAGCACAAACAAACAATAAAAACGCACACACAAACGCACAAACATAAACGTCCGGGTGTGCGCATGCGTGTATATTTGTATGTATGTGAATAATCATAGGTTAAAGTAAATGACCAAAACAACAGCAATAAACCAGAGATAAACGTTAAAGAAAACAAAGTCAAGGAGGACACTAAACATAAACCAATGGAAAAATACAAAAGAAACAATTGATTCAACAACATCGCCAACACGCAATAAACTGCTCTTTCATAGAACTAAATATAAAAGGCTTATCAAGCGGTAAATAAAACACCCATACCACAAGAAAAGAATAAAACAACTATACCTTCTAGTATATCCGTCTACTAGGGCGGCTAGTATATATGCCTGACAGCCATGACTGGGTTCTCCTGTTTGTGACGCATGGTGCAGAGTCCCGTTCCCAGATAGGGTCTGCCAGCAGCCACCCTGTTGACCCAAGGCAGCACTATCTCCTCAACACACTTGATGCAGGCCTCTGTGTTGAGTCTGAGGCCCTGTGGGAAGATGAATGGAGGCAAAACGTTGCCATCACAAGTAACACCGAAACACTGTCAAATATTCGCATAACGTTTGCAAATATCTGGCCGAGTGTATTGCATCATAGTTCTCTTATACGTATTATGACTATTTATTGTAGTTTTAATCCTCTCAAGTCCACGAATTAACTTTAATCGGCTTAAATCAAATTATGATGCCTAAACAGACACACACACACACACACACACACACACACACACACACACACATATATATATATATATATATATATATATATATATATATATATCCCAGACGCTTGCTCAGGCAAATTTTGTGTTTGTTCAACAGCCACAGAGACCACTGGTGTTTTATACTGCAACTGGGCTGAGCAGACCTTAGTTACGGTTTCTGGAGAGAAAGTGTTACCTAGCGTGATCAACAATCTGAACAAGACAAGCACGCTCAAAAAATGGCTTGTGAATTCCTACTAAGCAAAGCCATCGGTAGCCCCCGGTTTCACTCACAAGGCTTAGGGCCAAGGATCAAAAACACCAGCATAAACATACACACATAACACAAAAACACACAGACGTGCAAACACGAACACACAAATGTACACGTGCGAATACGTGTATGCGAGCATATTTGTATGCATGTTCACATGCATGCGCGCACATACACAAGCACACACAAAAATTCCCGCACCAACATACAAGCACGCACAAAAATTCAAGCATAACATAAACTGAATGGTAAAAACAATAACAATATATCAGAGATCAAAACAGTAGCAATATATAAAATTTAAGACAATTTATATATACATATATATATATATATATATATATATATATATATATATATATATATATATATATATATATATATAAAACAAAGTTAAGGAGCACACTAAACATAAACCAATGGAAAAAATACAAGAGAAACAATTGATTGGTTTAACAACATCGCCAATATACAAAACACTACACTCTTTCATAGAACTAAACATAAAAGACTTATCAAGCGAAAAGGATAATAACACACACATAACACAATAAAATTATATAACAAGATCTCACTAGGTAAAGTTAGCTAATACAACCTACTAAAAATACATATACATTTAACACAAACACAAAGGTAGACGCGCATATATGCGTACACATCCACAGGCACACACGTAACCGCACATCAGCACAAACATACATACACACACAAAAATCACATCAGGACGTAAATTAAGGGGTCAAAACAGTAGCAATAAACGAGAGATCAACAGAGAAAATGAGGAATGAGTAAAAAAGGAAAAAAAAAGGAAGGGAGAAAAAGAATTCAACAACCGATCAACATATATCAACTGAAAAGAAAAATAACACAATCATACAACAATAAAAGATTTGAAAAATCGAGAAATATCAGCAGTTTAACCTCGAAATTTCGAAGTAAACCTGAGTTAAATGTAAAAACTTTTTCGTAATAATTCTATTAACGCACTATCTCCATCTTCGATATGAAGCACTCTACCGCAAATATGCTTGCCTTAAATGACACCTTATCAGCAAAAAACTTAAAAATTTGCAATTTTGCCTTCAAAAACAGACTTCCAAATTAACAATACATAGATACATATATATATATATATATATATATATATATATATAATCTTAGATAGATCTAGATAGATATTACTAAAAATACTTTCTATTTCAGTGTGCTGATTTAAAATCCAACGGCACTAACACACACACACACACACACACATATATATATATGTTGTGAGAGATAGAGAGATAGATATACCAATAAGATATTTTATATAGATAATTCTATTATCATTGAGTACATATCATCGCATAAATATATAAAATTTAAGACAATTTATAAATACATATATATATATATATTAATTTATTGATGTCATTTAATTCATATCTATCTATTCTATCTCTTTCTATATCTATTCATCTATCTATATATCTATACATACATACATATATATATATATATATATATATATATATAGACCGTTAGATAGAAATAATAATCATATTTTACCTTGCGTATCATGTATCCATTATGCCTAGGCATAATATATACATGATATACCTGTCTTTATGCATTATATATATATATATATATATATATATATATATATATATATATATATATATATATAGGCATAAAAGCGAAGTAAGTGTCAACTCAGATGCATAGATATATTGACACACTGAATTTGATCAATTTGATTCATGTTATATAAATCGTTATGAGAATTTCAAAATTTTATGGCGTTTGATCGAATACAAGAAGGCATCATTTTAGAAATACGAAATTCCGAACGATATATTGCTACAATGATGGTTATTTTACGACAATTTACAGGTCAGAAAGACGAAAGGAAGTGAGGCGTAAAAATGGGAAAGGTAGAAAGAGAAAAGGAGAGAAAGTGTGACAGAGAAAGGGAGAATAAAAAGAAAAAAGGTAGAGAGAGAGAAAGAGATAGAAAACGAGAGAGAGAGAGAGAGACAGTGACAGGGAAAAAGAAAACCAAAGACGAGAGATTGGCACAGATAGAAAAAGAAAGTAACAAAAGGAGCAAAGAAATAAGAGATAAAAAAGACCTATGGGAGAGAGAAATGAAGAAAAAGAAATGAAAAGAAAAAATCAAAAGTGTAAGAGAAAAAAAAAGAAAAGAGATGGGCTGAGTAGAAGATATAAAGAGAATGAGAACGGATAGGATATGTGAGGAGAAAAACAAAGAAAAAAGAGGAAAGGAGTAAAATAAAAATAAAAAAATGATATAATATTGAAAAAGAGTAAAAAGAAACATGTGAAATGCGTAGAGAAAGAAAGAAAGAAAGAAAGAACGAGAAGAAAAGAAAGAACGAGAAGAAAAGAAAGAAAGAACGAGAAGAAAGAAAGAACGAGAAGAAAAGAAAGAAAGAACGAGAAGAAAGAAAGAAAGAAAGAACGAGAAGAAAGAAAGAAAGAACGAGAAGAAAAGAAAGAAAGAACGAGAAGAAAGAAAGAAAGAAAGAAAGAAAGAAAGAACGAGAAGAAAGAAAGAAAGAACGAGAAGAAAAGAAAGAAAGAACGAGAAGAAAAGAAAGAAAGAACGAGAAGAAAGAAAGAAAGAAAGAAAGAACGAGAAGAAAAGAAAGAAAGAACGAGAAGAAAAGAAAGAAAGAACGAGAAGAAAGAAAGAAAGAAAGAAAGATAGAACGAGAAGAAAAGAAAGAAAGAACGAGAAGAAAGAAAGAACGAGAAGAAAGAAAGAAAGAACGAGAAGAAAGAAAGAACGAGAAGAAAAGAAAGAACGAGAAGAAAGAAAGAAAGAACGAGAAGAAAGAAAGAACGAGAAGAAAAGAAAGAACGAGAAGAAAGAAAGAAAGAAAGAAAGAACGAGAAGAAAAGAAAGAAAGAACGAGAAGAAAGAAAGAAAGAAAGAACGAGAAGAAAAGAAAGAAAGAACGAGAAGAAAAGAAAGAAAGAAAGAAAGAAAGAACGAGAAGAAAAGAAAGAGAAGAAAACAAAATACAAGAAAATAGAAAATGAAAGCGAGGTTAGCATAAACGAAAAGAGAAAACGAAAAAGAGGCAACAGCAGGAAAAAAAATGTAGAAAAATAAAATGGCTGTTCAGGGAAGGAAGGAAACCTAAAAGAAAGAAAGAAAAAAAAAGGAGCATGGAAAACAGAAGAGAGGGATTAGTGAAGAAAAATATCTAAAAAGAGCGAAAGAGAGAACAAAGAAAAGTGTTCATTTGAGAAGGTAAGTTTAGCGAACGTTGGTGACAATATGGAATGCAGAGTAAATACATGCTTGAATTAAAGAAGAAATAAACCAAAGATTCGAATGCAGAAAAAGAAATATGACGCTGAAAGACGGCAATCAATAGACATTTCATGGAGATATTTTCCATGTTCACAACGAAGCAATGGAACAGCAGACAAAAAAAAATAAGATAAAATAAAAAAAAATAAATAAATAAGTAAAACGCGCATGCGTACGTAACTTATGCACTCGATTTTGATCACATTTGATTGACTTCAAGATTAAACATTAAAATTTTGCTATATTTGTTTCACTAACGGGATATATTAAATAAAAGATTACACGAAAAAGAATTTCTATCCATTATTAAAATCTCACTTTCATAGTAATTATATAACTTGAACAATATATATATACATACATACATACATACATACACATATATACATATATATATATATATATATATATATATGTGTGTGTGTGTGTGTGTGTGTGTGTGTGTGTGAAAAGAGTATATAAATATAAATAAATATATATATGTATAATGGTTTATATATTATATGCGGGGTACTTATTAGAAAGCGCTCAATATCAGAGATAGAGCTAACATGTATGGTTGGATAGATGTGAGTGTGTGACCCTGGGTTTCACGCTTTAGCGATCGTATTGTTCAAGTTATATATATATATATATATATATCATTTCTGTTCTTCTCATTCTTTCTTTTCTTTATTTCTTTCTTTCTTTCCGCATCTCATATTTTTTCACTTTTTCTCAATCTTATATTACTTCTTTACTTTTAATTTTCCTTCTTCACTCACTTTTCATTGTTTTTCTCCTTACATATCCTATCTTTTCTCATTCTCTTTATGTCTTCTACGCACCCCATCTCTCTCCTCTCTCTCTCTCTCTCTCTATATATATATATATATATATATATATATATATATATATATATATATATATATATATTTGCGTGTTTTTCTATAACGTCTATATTTTAAAGACGTAAACTTTTTTCATTTGCGTGTGTCGGCAATTATATATTTACACAGCTTGAATTAAATGATATATTCGTACCCGGTAATCCTTTCACTTCCT